ATATGAGGTTGAAATTTTCATATGTCCAAATATCATGTGCTTAACATAATAGGGTCATAGGATTTGAACAAAATACTTCTCGGTCACATAATATTTTGATATCATGTCATGAACCTGTTTGTCCCATAATTCAAAATTTTGAAAGAAATTTAGTTATAGATTATTGAACAACGGCACAAACTCTGTATCTTCCTTTCCTCAGCTTTTTTTATTGCTTTCTCTAATTTACTTCTTCCTTCAAACATGAGTTGTAGTGAAAGAAATTCATCAGAAGAGGAGGGAGCAGGTGAAGGCAAGATGGTGACATTCTCACTGAACAATCAACACTAAAATACAACTGCATGCGACGCCTCAACCTACTTCTCATGTGGAGGAAGCTGCGACCTCTCCTTCCTTTCCGCCTCATCTTTTTCCTTTTGTTATTTTTGGCTTCTCCTAACTAACCGCTGGATTAGCAAACCTAACAGTCTTATTATCAACCAAATCCCACACTCCCATAAAACAAATCCCAATTCATAACTGACCAAATATATATAAACAACAGTTATGATAATATTATTAATAACACTGCTAATACGCGATGAGATACGAGGATCGGGTCCCTCATCGTAGTCCACTCTTGTCGTTTCACATTTGCTAATAATATATTAATTAGTTGACCTCCCAGCTGTTTCTCCTTTGTGTTTGTTTGCTCAATGTTTATTTTTATAAGAGGCAGCTCATGTTCAACCCAATGCTAAAAGGATGGGATTGAAATTGAATTTGATTAAATAAAGGTGATTGGGTGAAAAGGTAGGATCTGATGTAACTAAATTCCACTAGTGAGAGAAATTATTCTTCTGATGATCGATTCACCCGCAGCCGCAACCTACTTTGATTCAAAAAGGCGAAGGCTTTGACACATGAGAAAGGTTAAAGAATAAACTCAACCAGACTAAAGAAATGAGATCAGAGAGGTTGTTCTTCTTGAACCCGTTCAAATCAATCCACTATCAAATGGAAAATACGACCCATATTCATAAATCTGGCGAACACCTCATTGAGCATAGTTAGGTGATTAAACACCCTTTAGATACCAGGGAACATGAGCCAAAATAACATTATGATAAGGTCAGTTGCGGGAAGTGAGAACAGTATGAGAATAGGCTTAGACATGACGTTCAAATACTTTGAATCGTGTTAGTCTTGTACGAGGGGCTGTATTGTCTTACCAATTGTTTTATTTTCCAAAAAACAAAACTAAGTTTTACAAGTATTTTTAACTCTAGTTTGTAAGTCCGACATAAGCTCCACTGGAAATTCTTAATATTTTTATAATTTTTGGCAAAAGAAAAATTGAAAATGGCAAAAAGAAAAAAAAAACATTGCTGCCCATAAGTATCAGAATTATTGCCGGTTGGAGAAAATATGCCAAGCAAACCAGTACTATCTGTTATTCACCATTTTTTTCCTTGTACATTAGCTTGGGTTGGGTCGGTGGCTCTGAAATTTGACCCTGTTTTATAAACAAAATGTAGTTCAAAAATTTTCTAAAAATTACCAAATATTATTAAAAATTTATTGATAAATAAAAATTTATAAAAAGTAGTTAAAATAGTATCTAATTTATATTATTTTCGATAAAAATTGATAATAATTTCAACAGATGGAATAAAAAACCGCTACTTGAGAGATTGCATCAAACAAAACTTGAACAAAAGAATTTAAATAGTAACTAACCAATTAGTCAATTAACTGGCTTCACCTGAATATATGATGAGAACTTAATTGAGTAAGATGAGACTAGTTATAGAAGAATCAAAGACTATAAACAAATAATAGAGAAAAATAATATATAAGAGAAGCTCATAAGTTTTGAGTCTAAAGTTAAATTGATTTACTATTTTCCTTTTTACACTTATTGGCTTGTGCCTTCTTGTGTTAGCGTTAATAACAAACAAATGATGATTATTTAATTACTTTAGCATTGTTACCTTGTTGGCGTACATGCATATTAATTAACATAATTGAATTTTTTTCCTTTTTTTTACCAATAGATTTTTTTGGGTGAAAAACGGGTGCCTAACACCCAAGGCTTCTATTCAACAATCGAACGGATGGTAAAACCACCCACAGAGTCAAAAAGGGCCCAACGGCAAACATCCGAATCTGAAACATCAATCATATGGGTACCAGGTGACATTGAGTGTCCCCTATGAGCTAGACAATCGGCCAGAAAAAATGCCTCTCTATAGATGTGAGTGAGCCGAACAAACCATTCTCTGCACATCATTTCCTGGAAGAGGGTGGTAAGGTTGGCGTGCTGATGGGTGTGCCGACCACTGTCAAGAAGTAGAGCAATTGTCGTCTTGGAGTCCAGTTGCAACTCCACTTGGCGATGCTCAGCCTCCCATGCTAGCTCAAGACCCTTCAGTGTCCCCCAAATCTCGGCTCGAGTAATGGAACATCTTCCCAGGTTCATCGTATAGGCCCCCAACAAGCGACCCTGCCAGTCTCTAAGCGCTCCTCCTGCCGCGGTAGACCCAGACGGTCGCAGGAGCGAAACGTCTGAGTTCACTGTGATCCACCCCGTCGGCGCCGGTCTCCACCCCACGACCATGTCTCGACGCGACCCCGACCTCCCGAGTGATAAGTTGTGTTCCGCAGTGCTACTCTGTTGAGCGACCATCTCCCAGGCTATGATCCTTTGCGATAACTTGTTGGGGGCTTCTACGATGTCTGAAAAGGTAAAACCATTCCGAGCACGCCAAAGAAACCAACAGGTAAAGCCAAATCGAACCTAGTTCTGGGGGGACTTAACTGACTCTGTAAACCACTCCTGGAAGCTGCGGGTGTCGTCGGTAGAGATTGCGGAGGGCAGGGTCTCCCGCCATACTTCCCGCGCAAAATTGCACTTGCGAAGAACATGATCCAGAGACTCCTCCTCGGCTCGGCAACGCGGGCAGGTTGCTTGGGCGGCGATGTGTCGGCGTGAGCGCTCTGCGTTGGTTAATAGGCCATGTGCTGCAAGCCATAGGAAATTACAGATGCGATTAAGCCCTAACCATTTCCACAGCTTCCTCCACGTGGGAGTCGCTTCGCTCCCTTCGATTTCCGCCACCATCTGGTATGCAGACTTGAGGGAGAACTGACCGCTCGGCTCCAGCCCTCATACCAGCTCATCCTCGTCGAGCTCTTCCCTGAGAATGGGCATTCCCACCACCTGTAAAGCCAACTCACGAGGTAAGTATTTCTCGATAGTATCCATGCACCACTCACCCTCACTTGTCAGCAATTCCGCCACACCAGCATCGTTGGCGAGTTGGTCATCGGCGTTGACTATGTTGTCCACTAGAGTCACGCCACTATCGAGCCAGATATCCTCCCAAAAGGACGTTCTCCTGCCATCCCTGATGCTACAATGAACTCCACCATCCATGAGCCGCCACACCCGCCGAATCCCTCTCCACAGCACTGAGTGTCCAGTTTTCCTGCGAGCACTAAAAACACCATTAGGCCCCTCCTTTAAGTACTTCTCCGTAAGGATCCATACCCAAAGTTCATCGGGGCGTTTGACAATAGTCCAAGCAAGCTTAACCAGGTACGCAGTATTCAAGTCATGAGCACTCCTCAACCCCAGAGGCCCAGACCACCCTCATCCTTCGGGCGACAAATCGCCCCAGTCAATCAGGTGAATCCGTCGACGTCCCTGCTGTGAGCCCCAAATGAAACTCCAAATACGCTTGTCAATGTAGTCAAAAATGGCAGCGGGCAGGACTGACGTTTGCATCGCAAACGACGGGATCGTATTAAGCACCGACAAGGGCAAAGTAGCGCGCCCAGCGAGTGATAGCTTATCTGCTTTCCAACCTGCGAGCTTCTGGTTCACCCAGTCAATGAGATATTGGTAGGTCTGCCTCGTAACTCTCCCATGCAAGACTGGGGCTCCCAAGTACCTGCCAAGGTCCTGCGCCATTGGAATGCTGAGGCTGTTGCTGATTTGCCTACACTGATCCCGCTTGCCTAACTAGCTCACACGATGCATTGCAGAAATGATCCAGGCAATCCATGATCACCTTTACCTGTTCCTGCGAGGCCTCAGCAAAAATAACTAGATCGTCAGCAAAAAAACTGTGAGTGAGTTTAGCACCTCCGCGGACAAGCTGGATTGGCTTCCACCTCCCACAAGCTGCCGCCTCCTCAATGAGGTGGCTTAGCCACTCAATACAGAGGGTGAATAAGTACGGAAAGAGGGGGCATCCTTGTCGAATACCTCTTGTCGGCCGAAACCTCTCCGAGGCCGACCCCTCCCACAAGATTTCCATAGACGAGATAGTTATACAGCCCATAATAGCCCGAGAGAAGGCCGACGGCAGCCCCACCCTCTTCGGAGTATCCTCAACAAAACCCCACCGTATACGATCGTAAGCCTTGGCTAGGTCGATCTTGAGCACCATCAGACCCTTGCCACTTCTCCTCAAGTGCATCGAATGGACAACTTCCTGTAGAATAATGATGTTGTCCTGTATGTATCTCCCGGGAACAAAGCTTGTCTGATTTGGGGCTATCAACTGCGGCATCAGAGGTTTCAATCGGTTCGCCAGACATTTGGAAAATGTCTTGTAAGTGACGTTGCAAAGGCTAATGGGCATGAAATCAGCAACCCTCTCCGGGTGGGAGGTCTTCGGAATGAGCACCAACAAGGTTTCATTGACCGCCCCCACAAGCTCCGGATCTTTAAAACAATCTCCCAAGTAGCAGACTAGCTTTTGGCCCACCGTCGTCCAACAGCTCTGAAAGAAAAGAGGCTGGTACCCATCATTGCCTGGTGCCTTGAGTGCTCCCATGGACTTGAGAGCACCTAGGATCTCATCCGCCTTGAGGTAGCCCGCGAGCCACTCAACCGACTCTTCAAATAAGGGGAAAAAGTCAAGCAGGGCTGGAGCCTCCCCTGCCACCTCCTGATACAACTCGATGTAGAAATCACGGACCATGACCTAGAGCTGACTGGGATCATCCACCTAATCATTTGACACAGACTTCAATCTTCTTATGCAGTTTCGGCATCGTCGCTTTAGGGTAGACAGGTGGAAGAACCTAGTATTACTATCACCGTGCACAAACCACTTCTCCCTGGATTTCTGGTACCATAGGATCTCCTCGTGCTTAAGTACCTCCATCAGCTCGTTCCGGATACACTCCTCCTGGTGGAGACTGGTCGGGGAGGGCGACTGCTCATTCAGCTCCTCCAACCTACAAAGACGGTTTGCCAGCTTCCTCTTTTTCTCAAGGACATTGCCAAATACTTCTTTGTTCCACCTGCAAAGTGCCGAGGTAAGCCCTATCACTGCCTCCTTGTACTCCAGCCCTGCTAACCAGCCTTCTTGTAGGATGTGAGGGAAATCATAATGGAGTAGCCAGGGAGCTAAGAATCGGAAAGGCTTGCGAGACGGATCCTGCAGTAGCATGTCGTTCGAACATGTAAGGATAGGTCGATGATCTGACTTGAGCTTAGGAAGGTGGAGAGTATTCATCTCCGGGAAGCTCTGCCGCCAATCTGAATTACACAAAGCACAGTCTAGTATTTGTCGTAGGGATCCCTGCTGCCAAGTGAAGCATTGTCCAGAGAACTCGACATCAATGAGCCCGCACTCATCAACACAATCCTTGAACTCTCTGCTTGGGGCCAAATTGAAAGGCGCTCCACCTTGCTTCTCATATGGCCCCAGGAGGGCGTTGATATCCCCGGTCAGAAGCCAAGGACCCTCAACGTCTACTGCCAGATCCCTAATAGTGTCCCACAAGGCACGCCTTGAGCTTTGGACGGAGCTCCCATACACGGCTGTAAGATAACCCGTCTGCCCGTTATGGAGGTTGACACGCATATGCAAGGACTGGGCCGCTCGGGTAACCTCCTCCATCTTGACCTCTCCCTCCTGCCACATGACCCAGATACCTCCTGCGAACCCGTTAGCCTCTACACACACTTGCTTGTCGAACCCCATTCTTCCTCGGATCTCCCCCGCCGACACACCACTGATCTTAGGCTCAGTAATGATGGTGATGTTCCGCTGATGACGCCTACAAAAATCTTTAAAGGTAGTGAGAAAATCGGGGTCAGCAGCTCCCCGACAATTCCAAGCAAAAATTCTAGACATAAGAAAACAGAAAAGAAACAGCCCAAAAGCGCGAAATCCTAACGGACAAGGAATACAAAACTCTCATCATTCGTCAAGCTCGCGGGTTACCAATAGATAACTTGTATTACCAAGACCAAAAGATAGCACTGTTTACAACCCAAGAAAAAATCAACGTTCAAAGTCAAAACTCTCTACACTCGCAAGCAACAAGGAAAGGGTCTTCCTGACCACATCATGAGCCATCTGATTGTTACTTCTGCCAACAAAAGAAATGCCAAAACCTTGGTACTGACGTTGCAGATTCTCGAGCTCCACGAGAATCCGACCGCCCTTCACATCCCGAGCATCCCTCCTTTGAATCTTCTCAATGACAACCTTCGCTTCTCCGTAGAACATCACTTCAGTAAGGCCCTTCAAAGAGCACCACCGAATCGCATCCCGAAATGCCATCAGCTCGAAGATAAAGGAATCCAAAAGACCTGCATAATAAAATCCATGAACATAACACACAATTCCCATCGCATCCCGAATTACCAAACCACCCGCACCATGAGAGCAAGGCGCCACCGCACCATCGACGTAGCAGGAGAAAGGCATGGTGTGCTGGGAAGATGTATGATACATCTATTTAGTATGCCATGTATGATACATGTGATTGATGTCATTTAGAAAAAAAAAATAATAGTCACATGTTCAACCGTTAACTACTTTCATGTGATACTCTATTGGTATCATATTATTTAGTTAATAAATTTTAACTAGACTATATCTTGTTATTTCATATATAGAATGGAAGCAATCTATGGTACATGAATTCTTTTTTAAAATTAAAAATAAGACATATTTACTCATATTATTTGACTCTCTAGTCACAATGTTGAGACATCTCATGGGCTCTAAACGAGCTAGCTAGTGGCGTAGCCAGAAATTTATCTGAGGTAGGTCAAACGTGAAAAAAATATATAACCTTAAGTTTCAGGTAGGGTTGGCAACGGGGCGGATCGGGGACGGATTCATACCATCCGTTCCCCGTCCGTGAACAGTGTCGGGTTTCCCCGACCCCGTCCCCGGCCATTCAACGGGGCCAAATTTGATACCGTCACCGTGAAGCGACGGATTCGGGGAATCCACGGGTCCCCGTTACCCGCTACAAACCCTAAATAATTGACATATTGAAACAATAAAATAACTGGAAAAACATAATTCAGTTCAAATTCAAAGTTGAGCAGTGCTCAAAAGCAGCTTAACATAAAGCCTATAAGGCTGCAACCCACCCACCACCCAGAACTCTGAATTTTCAAGAGTTCCTCAATTGTTCATGAGTTCATCAACTGTCTAATAGTCATAAGTAGCAAAAAAAAACAAGTAAAGCACTCTCAAACTCAAACTCTCAAAGGCAGTAAGCCAAACTCTCAAAGGCACCAGCAAGGCAGCAACCAGATTTAAAGAACATAAGCAGTCAAGCAGCACATGACAAATTGACATTCATTCCCTGCAAGAAAACAAAAATATGAAGGAACAGATACAAGCTTACAATAAAGGAGAAAAGTCAGTTTGAATGTATTATATTATATACCTTCTCTTCTGAGGTTCCAATAATCAGTCATCAAAGGAGAATGGTGAATCCAGATTCAGAAGTTCCTGGACTGCAATCAATATAAAAAAAAACTTTGTTCACTTATGCAGTTCATAAATCATAACTTACCAACTAAAAACTAAAAACCAACTAACTTACCCCATTTTCCTGATCTTCTACACTTGAATCGTGAACTGACAGCCCAGTAAACAGTCCATCCATTGCCTCCACAGCAGCAGCAGCCTCTGATTCTACATAAATAGAACAAACTCACTCAGTCACTTGTTTAAATGAACCAAAAGCTACTACTAAGACTAAACTCGAAGGTATTGCAGGTTACCTCTTAGCCAGGCTTCCCTAACCCAGCTACGACTGTACAACATAGCCTCCACAGTAGAATAGTCGAGCCTGCTCCTGTGGGGGTCTAACAACCTCCCACCAGAGCTGAAAGCACTCTCGGAAGCAACTGATGTTATTGGTATAGCCAAAAAGTCCCTTGCAATTGCTTGCAAAGTAGGATACTTAAGGCCATTCAACTTCCACCACATCAAGAGATCAAATTCAGCAGATGGATCACGAGGAATAAGTTCCTCAGCAAGATAATGGTCCAACTCAGTAGTAATCAGAGTTGTTTTGCTCTTTTTCCTCTGACTAACAAACAACTCGAAATCAAGATCAGTTGCTGAAACAGAGGCATTTGCATTTCCAATCGGTTCATTGGCAGAAGAACCAGATTTCTTTTCAGCCTTGGTTTGATAATCATTAATCAAATCACAAATCAGCTATTTTAGATCCTTAGCCACCAAGTAAGTATCAGAGCTGCCAAACTTAGCAGCATAATACTCAATGACATTCATTTTGTACCTAGGATCCAGAACCACTGAAACTGCCAGAACAAGATGTATATCATTCCAATACTTTGTGAATTTCAATCACATATTTCCAGCCATGGCAGAAATAACAGGATTAAGATAAGCACACCAGTCACTCAATTTCAATCGCAGATCACAGACCTTAGAGAAAAATAGATTGGCAGTGGGGTACTTGGTGCCAGAAAATAATGCAGTCATCTCACTGAAAATGAGCAGTTTATCAATCACAATAGCAGCAAAATCCCAGTGCTCATTAGTAGGAGCTGATGTGTATTGACTATCCATCTGTCTTAAACGAAAAAAGACATCTCTGTACAGAAGAGCAATAGAGAGCATATCATAGGTAGAATTCCACCTTGTTGGACAATCAAGCACAAGTTTTTTCCCAACAGCCAACTTAAGCTGTTTAACAGCTTCATTGAAAGTCTGGACCCTCTTAGGTGTGGATGTCCAATACACCACACTCTCCCTAATCAAATGGATTCCATCCTTTATCACATCCAAACCATCTTTCACAATAAGGTTCAGTATATGAGCAGAACACCTCATATGAAGCAGTCTACCATCCATCAACACGTTATTCAAAACAAGTTTATTCTTAAGGTGAGCAATCATGGAATCATTAGTGGAGCAGTTGTCCAAGGTGATTGCAGACAACTTTCCATCAATGTTCCAATTCAGAAGACATTGAAACAGTTTTCTTGCAAGCCTCTCACTCGTATGAGGGGTAGGGACATACAAAAACTTTAGCATGGAGTTTCTTAGCTTCCAAGTATTATCAATAAAGTGAGCTGTGACTACCATATAACCCCTCTTCTGGTTTGGGGCAGTCCATAAATCAGTGGTCACAGCAATTCTACCCAAATTACCATCAATAACCTTTTGGTAGTTACTCCTTTCAACCCCATACAAAGACAATATATCTTTCTTCACAGTATTTCTACAAGGCACAGTAAACTGTGGTTGCAAAGAACAACAGAAACGCTTGAAACCCAAGTGTTCAACAATGCTAAGAGGGTACTCATGGACCAAAATCATTGAGCTCAGCTCCTTCCTAGACACATCAGAGTTGAACTGTGTAGCAGATAACTGGGGTTTTCCAGTTGCTTTGTATTAGGGCAAAGAATTTTTTGAGCACCATCATGTATCCTTTTTTGGATACAGGTTTTCACATGAGTCCTAAGGTGCGAGGTTCCATTACGAGTATCACCACCAAGGTTTTTTCGACAGTACTTGCACTTAGCTTTAATAACCCCATTAACCTTAACCCTAATGTAATGAGGCCATACATCAGAAGTCAATTTGCATTCTTCAACAAGCACTTCAGAATTTTCATTAGCCAAGTTACCGTTACCATTACCAACTTGTTCAGGTTGGTTGTTTTGATCAACAGGGGCAGGTTGTGGAGGAACAGGAGCATTGACAACATTTTCAGGTGCACCTTCCATCTGACATTGAGATAAACGAGTATAAACATCAAAGGATTGCTTGGTTACTTTTTAGGTTTTAGCTATAAGATTTCTAGGTTCAAATTTATAGTCTTTTAGATTCAATTGTAACATGCAGATGAGACACATATACTAAACAAGACATGATTCATGAGCGGACCCAACACCCAAGCAATCAACAGAAACTCGAGTCCCTAATTCCTAATACATGCAAACCAAATTAAGTTAAATGTCCTTAATTCTTTAACTAACCTCGAATCTGGACAGAGGGGGTCTATTGTCCAGAGTTGTGGATGGTGAACTGATGCCTGATACAAAACTGCAAAAACTCAAACAAAAGTACAAACATTACAATCCAATGAGTCAAAGTCAATACAACAAACTACTAATTACTAAACACTAACTGAGTAACTGACTAAGGAAATTTGATTAGGGATTACCTCGAGTATCAGAGCATGCATGCAGTCCCAGGTGCAGATGAAGATGAAACAGAAGAGCCCTAGAAAGAACTAATCGACTCGAGTTAATTTAAACGAACCTAAAACTAAAGCAAGAAACTGAAACAAGAAAGAAGAATTGAATTGGAAGGTACTTATCTCGAGTTCTGGATTATCGGAACAATAATCGATGACAAATCCTCCCAATAACCTCGAATCGGTGATTGGAACAGTCATCTTCTGATTCTTCTCCTTTTGCATGTTGTGTTCTTTGCCTAAATCGATGAGGATATTAGGCTTTGATTGGTGGATAATGAATGATTGACAGCCTGGGTGGAGAGAATTTCGCGGGGGGAATCGAATCGATGGATTTGAGCGGCGATTGAGAGCAGAGAACTGAGAGGAGAAGAGAGAGTGAGAGACTGAGAGAGCGGCGCTTTTCCAATTTGGGATTAGGGTTTCTCTGCTCGACTGATGGATATATATATGCTCATAATACGACGTCGTTTTTATGGCTCGGGGCGGGCTCGGG